CAATGCTAGAGAATTGTTCTGGGATTTGTAGTTTTATTTTTTAACACATTGGTTTTTTTTTATTTCCCAGTGAGAGAGAACTTTCAGCCCACAATAAAACTACATTTCCCAAGATTCCATAGCACTATAGCACTACACTATAGACACAATAAGGCATTTTGACCCCGCTTTTCATTGCCCTGGCTCAATGCTAGGGAATTAATCTGGGATATGGAGTTGTGTGAGACATTTAGCCTTCTCTGGCAGACAGCTCTGGTGACACAGCGAACTACATTTCCCAGGGTTCCACAGCACTCAGCCACCGAGGTTGAAGTGGTGTCAAAATGTTTTAGTTTTATAGCGAGGCAGCCGCCTCAGACTCAATAGGGATAAACAAGGGGTCATAGCTTGTCACATCTTTTTGTTAGCTAGAAAATGGCTCATGTTCAGAGCCGCTTCCAAAAAAGTGTTGCTGTTGTTGTTCTACTGCGCATGTGCAAAACTGTCATTTCGTTTTCTTGCTTTCTTCTTCCTCCGCGCCTGGTGATCTTGCGCACGCGCAGAATGGCGGGACTACGTGGAGGAAGATTGATCGGGGAGGTGTGAAAGGTTCGTGAGCCCCACGTGACCGAGTGTGCCGGTCTTCCATGTTTGGTGAGGGCGGAACTGGGCCCCCGCCGGGTAACGCCCCTGCGTTTGGAAGGCCTGAGTAGGGCAGTTAACAATAGGATCTCTGAGCGGCCTCTCACTTATAGGTGGAAGGTGGCTCGACATAAACAACGATAGAAGGGAAATAAATTCTTCTTTAGGGCCCCCGTGGCAATGCCTTCTTCCTAAGGGGCCTCTCAGAGTGGGCGGAAGGCGGGGCTTGGCTTCCACACCTCACTGTTAGAGTGGCAGCTGTTAGCCCTCCAATCAGGAGCTGCCTAACGTTCACTTGGCTCCCAGGCGTCCTGCGCATGCGCAGATGCGAGCTCAAGTTGGTCAGTGGAATCCAAAACACACTGCAGAAGTAATCCAGTGTGAGACCGTTTTGACTGCCCTGGCTCAGTGCTAGGGAATCCTGGGAATTATAGTTTTATTGTGGCACCAGAGCTCTCTTAACAGAGAAGGCTCAATGTCTCATGAAGCTACAGTTCCCAGAATTCCTCAGGACTGAGTCAGGACAATTAAAGCAGTCTCAAATTGGATTGTTTCTGCAATGTGGCTTGGACCAGAGATGAGCAACCTCTTGGCTGCGTCCACACTGTAGAAATAATCCAGTTGGACACCACTTAAATTGCCATGGGTCAGTGCTAAGGAATCCTGGGAACTGTAGTTTGTTGTGGCCCCAGAGCTCTCTGACAGAGAAGGCTCAATGTCCCAGAAAAAAAAAACAATCCCCATGATTCCCTAACACTAACACTAACCCTAAAAGTGGACTCAATTTGCACTATTTCTGGCAGTCTGCAACCCCCCTTAGCCTTCTCTGTCAGAGATCTCTGGGGCCACTACAATTCCCAAGATTCCCTATCACTGAGCCAGGGCAGTTAAAACGGTCTCAAACTGGATTACTTCTGCAGTGTGTTTTGGACCTATATAATTAGTGAATTAAATCAGAATTTAATACAACAAATTAAACACCCGTCTTCTCAATATGAATGGTAACAATGTCTCTTATCTAATTATTTATTTATTTATTTATTTTGGTGGCACAAACGTTTTTGAATTACAGTCCACTTCATCAGATCCCAGGTTATCTCAAATATAGATTACACCTATAACAGAAATGACAAAAAAAGTATTTGTGAGGAATCGTAATAGAAAAAACACCAGAGATTCCAAAGCCAAATTTAAGAGGGATTGTATACATATAATAAAGTATTCCAATCATATAGAACATATAAAATGCTATAATCAAACCACATATACAAAACCTATACAACATGTAGAATAATATAATGAAAGCATAAACAGTAGGGTTTGTTTCAGGAACCTACCCACCTCCCAGTGGATACCAAAATCTGTGGATGTTCAAGTCCCATTGAATAAAATGAATAGAAAATGGTCTCCCTTATATAAAATATAAAAATCTAGATTTGCTTTCAGGAATTTATACATATATATTTGAATATCAAGCTGTGGATGTTTGAATTCGTAGATAAAGAATCCATTGATATGGAAGGCTACCGTATACAATACATAATGGATTTCTGGATAATACCTATTTTGACGAAAAAGGGTCTTCTAAGTATAAAGAATATTTACACTGCATCCAGTTCTGAGAGCACACTTTTATCTCATGAATACATAAACTTTTATCATTTAACAGGAGCAGTATTCTCATAAGCAAGGCTATTTTATCAGTAATCGATTGACAGAATAACAAAAATGCATACAACTAACACAATATATAAATAATAAGAAAGCAGCAGTAAGTAAAGACAAAGCCCAGATTTCATTTTGCTTACTTGCTCCTCTCATGGGGGAGGCTTGTGAAATAGATATTATCCAGAAATACATTGATAAGTACATTCTTCTGTTTCTACAGTTTGGGGCTACATTTGCACTGTAGAAATAATCCTGGTTGACACCATGTAAGCTGCCATGGCTGAAGGCTGTGGAATTCTGGGAAATGGCACAGAAGAATGATTTCAAAGCAGTATAAAATTATGATTAGAGCCAGTATGGCATAATGATTTGAGCATTGGACTACAACTCTGGAGGCCAGATTTTAATTTCCCGCTCAGGCATGGAAACCTATTGGGTGACTTTGGGTGAGTCACACACTCTCAGCCCCAGAAACCCTGTGATAGGATCGTTATAAGTCAAAAACGATTTGAAGACACACAACAACAACAACTACAATTATTATACAGGAAAGACTCTTAAAAAGAAAAAGGTTCTAGCATTCTAATTGAAAACTGGAGCGTTGACCCTTAGTCTGTTGCTGGCAGTCAGCGGTTCTTGGCAAGCACTACTGTCCAGTAGTTAAAGCATAGATGAGGAAAGAGGGCTGGCTTTGGTTTTTCTTCTGCTGCTGGCAGCTGAAATCCTCTGTGTCTTTTCACATGAATTGTGGATATTGCTGACACAGAGGATTTCCACAATTCATGTGAAAACAATGTGCATGTTTTGCAGATTCTGTGCAAATGAGCCCCAGTTCTCCAGCTCATTGCATCTCCTTTGTCACCATTCAAAGCAAGGGAACTGCCCAGCCCTGCAATAGCTGTCTAGTTGAAGGGAATGTAATCCTTTTTCTTCCTGTGGCCTTCATGCTCTGCTTGGCTTGCCGCCTCCAAGCCGTTCTGTAATTTTCTCCATGTGAGCCGCTCTTCCCTTTGGAACGACTTGCAAATGTGTCACTTTGCTGAATGACTCAGCTGGCATTTTTAAGTGCCTGACAATATTTCTAGGTTTGGGATATGTGGGTTGCTGTCTCCCAAGGGGGGAAACACAAACGGGGGAGGCCAAATGGAGGGGTTGCCTTCTTAGCGGGGGCAACCTGCCATTTATCATTTGTGCCGGATGCTGACAGTATAAAGCGGACAAATAGTTCTTCTGCAGATCTGGTACGGCACTTGCGTTTCCATAGACCGCCTGAGGCAGGGCTTTCATAAAAGGAAACGTCATTCCTGTTATGCTGTTAATTTGTTGTGCATTTTGTCTGTCGGCCAATGCTCTTATGGGCAAAATTGGACGGTAAAGGCCGCTCTGTGTCACAAAATGGTGGAGGACGGCGTGCCAAAGCCCACCGCTCAGGGGGCTTAGCATTACCTGAGGCCACTGGCTGGCAAGGCTCTGCAAAGCTTCACAGTTCCATGGCGCTACTGGGAGGTCCTCCTCT